TTACATTATTCCATCTCCACCTGCTGGTGAAAGCTAGAGCAGCTGGCGATCTTCAATCTGCAATCTATTGCTTTTCCTGCAGTTCCCGGATGTAATGTTGAATTTTAACAGTCGAATTTGATCCACTGAATTTATGGAAGCGAATATTTGAACTGAAATAAGATGAACTGAAAATTACCTTTTGAATATTATACATCGTATTTTTAAAGGGTATTGAATATTTTGTAAGTGAAATCTGAAAATTGAATATGAATTATTGAATTTTTAAGTATGAAAACGTGTTTGAAATATTTTTCGTTGAAATATACAAAGCTTAAATATACAGATATGTTAAATTTCAGGACCTAAAAATACAAACCCTGGAATTCAAGTCATTAAAATGCAAGAACTTGTTAATACGGTGTATTATTTTTTTCAGTTTGTGCTATTCAACAAGCTTTTTAATTCAGTACTTTTGGCACTGATGTTGTTCCATAAGTCTCTCTCTCTCTCCGCTCAATGTTTGTCCATACTTATAGCCAATTTGCAAATAGCGCAACTCGCCGCTGGTGCGCAAAGCCAGACCAGACTCTAGGAACGAACAGTAAGTGAAGTCATGACACACACGCACAAGCACAGACAGTCAACAACCGTAACAGTTTGTCTATTGGTTTAATCAGTTGTTATCTGGGAAAAACATACCTTGGAATGCTGTGATTGACCAATCAGAATCAAGTATTCCTGAGAACACATGTGAAGTGTTTTTGCTTATGTGTGTTACAGAAAATGGGCCAATAGTAGAGAATGATCCAAAAGAATTCTTCACGGATCCGCTGGCGGGTAAGAGACAGCAGACGCTCCTCCTGATCTGGCCTGGAGCTGATCAGCCGGAGTTTCAGCTGAATCAACACTGATGATGTTTTATTTTTCCCAGAGATCAAAAAGATCCGCTCGACCGCAGAGAGTAAGCTGCAGTGTGGCGTTCCCAACATGGATTACGTGTATAAAGCAGAGGACGACGGATCGTCACGTCAGCGCAGAAAACGCTTAGTCGGAGGAGAAGAGTCTTTACCGGTCAGTCTGAGGGAAAATTAACAACTGTACTATACAGATGAAGATCAAATTATTCTATATAATAACTTCGTGAAATGTTCTTTTTTTAAAGTACAGTTAAAGTCTGAATTATTCACCCTCCTCAATATTTTTCCCACATTTTTTTTGTTTAACGGAGAGAAGATTTTCTTCAGCACATTTCTAATCATAATAGTGTTAATAACTCATCTCTAATAACTGATTTATTTTCTCTTTGTCATGATGACAGTAAATAATATTAGACTAGATATTTTTTAAGACACTAGTATACAGCTTAAAGTGACGTTTA